TCACAATTAAAAGACCCAACAGCTTAAACTACTTCAGTCTGTGTGTACTGAATTTATATAATACACGAGTTTCACTATTTGAGTTGAATTACTGAAATAAATGGACTTTTCCACGATATTCTAATTTATTGAGATGCACCTGTATGTGCAGGACAATTTCTTGACCGGAGGCAGTGACTTCCTGGAGTCTGTTGCTTGCAAACCTCAAAGATGATAAATCTCAAGTAGCCACTGCATCCAGTAAATGATAAATGTTAATAGTGCCTTTACTACAAAACGCAGCTCCAAGTGCTTTACAAAGTAAAGAAAAATACAAGCCATTGTCTAACCATTAACTTCTGTAAAAACATCTTATCTAACTTTGGTAGGGTGAGTAAGTGTTTTTTTTTTTTTAAAGTGAGATGACTGAGAAAAACGAGTAGGATGGATTGTCACTGTAGTTTGAAGACATGCTTCATTTTCTTGTAGCTAGTGTGGATCTCCCAACTGGTGCTACTGAGGGACAGGGGGTCCTCGCCATAAGTCACTCCATGGCCAACGCTTTTGGCATCCTTATAGGCTGAGAGCAGCCCTGGCTTTAGCACACAGTACAATGGGGGGAGATATCATCATCGTCCCCACAATCGGAGATTGAAGATCACAAAATTCATGCCGGTTGATTTTCTGACAGCCTATTCTAGGATCATGACTAAGATAGAACTCTGTGAAGTAAAGTGCCTCCTGATACTGGCAAGCTGAGAAAGGTGTGATAAAGGAAGTGGTACCTGTAATTACCTGTCAGGAGGATTCCCAGCTTGTCCAGTCACTGTATGAGCGCTTGAGAAGCCAAGTAGTGTGAATGCCAGCATAAAGCATAGTAAATGCACTATACAAATATAAGACCATTTACATTTGTGGCTCAGGAGGTAGAGCGAAAAAACGTAGAAAACATAAGAACACTTTATTTAGAGAACTCTTTATCACTCCTTGTACATTTTTTAAGTCTGTTGTTTCAAATACATCAAGATAGTTTTCTCTCCCATCACCACAGGAGAGGTTCTGGCCACTTCACAGAGTAAAAAACACCGGAGGTCTGTGCTGCTTTTGGATGTTGTAATGAATGAAACTGCAAAACCACACAACAGGAAATAACATTACACTACAATATTTTACTGTTGCTAACATGCTGAATTTCTCAATTAATCCTTCTTTAAAATGTTTATAACATGACAAAGTGTCACCTCCATGTTGGCTGCAAAAGCACAAATGTGTAACTAATGTGCAACAGTTCCCAAAAAAAGACCAAGCCTGCAGCCGCATGGTGCTGCTGAGACACTGGAAGCAAACACTGTTGTAAATGTGTGAACTGAAAATGTAAATCAGCAAAACACTATTTCAGTCATCTGGAGTTGTTTCATAACTTCAATGTAAGCTTCTCTTTGTCTGCTACCACACAAGAAAGTAGGAAATAAGAATAATCACATTTAGAACAGATTAAAAAAAAAAGACCCATTTAACTATGAAGTCTATTAGAAGCTCAAAATCAAGGATAAAAGCCTGCATAAAAAAAATCAGCACCACAAGTAGCTGCTCCGCAGACTCTCCTGGTGGGGGATGAAGCCATGCAGAGGATGGATCAAAACAGTGCCGCAGACAAAACGTGATTATAGCCGCACCCTGTGGTAATGAGGGGGTGATATAGCCGCACCCTGTGGTAATGAGGGGTTATGGTCTAGAATGTTTTAATTGGTTACTCATCCACAGCCCAACTCCAAAGCCAACAAATTGGATGTGTACTTTTGCCTCCATTGGAGCCAAAGAGTTCAAGTACCTTGTTGAAGAGCACTTAAATGTTAGTACAGTAACTGCAGAGTTCAGGAGTGCTTTCTCTTCTCCTCTATCACACTGACACTTTTCGTATGTCCAGGATTTCAGAGAAGGGACTGGTCACATGTCTTCATCTCTGTGATTGAGACTCCCACTGCTTGCTCTTATCTTAGTTAACTCCCATCGACCTCCTCCACACAGTTTCAGCTGGACATCATGGTACTGTTAGAAACAGAGACAGTTGATTAATATACAATAGACTGGCAAAAAAAATAACTTTATGCCCATTAAATTAGATTCTGATAAAGCAAGTGTCCTTTTGAAATTATTTTAAATTTTGCTGAAGTGTAGAGAGCATACATCCATCATTGCTCTGAGAAATGTGAAAAGAATTAAAATGCACTCATCAGATAATGCAGGCATTGAAAACCGTTAATGAATTCTTTAGTAATTCAGTCATAGCTGTCCCTACATCTAATATTGCATAGCAGATGTTAACTGCTAATAGCTAATTTGGCACACTGTGTTCCAAAACGTAAACAAATATATGCTACAAATGGGGCTCAAACTTGCTGCCTACAGCATAACTAACTATAGACATGTACTGAGCAGGAGTTGGTAAGCTTCAGAACCTGCTGCTTGAGAAACATTGGTTTTTAAGATTTCTTCATTATTTATGCAATTTTATTAGCACAAACTACAGTACATAGCAAAATTATCTCTTAATTATGAGGTAGCAAGTCATAATTACAAGAAAAGATCTTTTTCTTTAGTGAATGCAATGCATTTCCGTAAAAAAACAAAACAAAAAAAAGGTATGTATTTATATAGCGCATTTTCCAGTGTGTTGCACTGGCCAAAGCGCTTTACAGGAGATCATACACCATTCACCCATTCACACACCGACGACGACAAGGCTGCCACACAACGGTGCTAGTCAAGCCACCGGGAGCAATTCGGGGTTCAGTGTCTTGCTCAGGGACACTTAGGCATGCAGGGAGACCGGGAGTCAAACCACCAACTTGCTGGTCAGGAGACAACTTGCCCTACCTGGTGAGCCACAGCCACGCTCTCAGACCTACTGGGCCCAAACCATTCTTTGAATCTCAGTGAGTGGGACATGTGCATGTGTGTTCCGTCTACCTTTTCAATGCTGCTCCGATGACCCAGGCTGATCAAAGTCATGCCGAGCTGTTTACAGGTTCGGTACAGCTGTGCTTCCGCCCCCTCAGTCAGTGCACTAGTAGCCTCATCTAACACTATGGAAAAAAAAATTAGAGGACAGGCCCCAGACAATGAAGTGTCTACATCCAAAGTTAAATTGCATTTTTGCCGTTAATTTTAAGTGAAAGTGCTGGGAACTGCTATGATGAATAGTTAAGAGAGCAATAACAAAATACCTGCATATTTGGGCTGCAGGTAGAAAAGTCGTGCAAAGCAGAGGCGCTGCATTTCACCTGGAGATAGAACATCATACCTGCAGAGAAAACAATAATCGAAATCTGTATTACTCCACTGAACATTTAAAATGGTGATGAAAGTATTAGTTTCTGAATTTGACAACGGGACTTTGGAAATGAAACTTACAATTACATTTAAATAAAAGGCAGGTTATTCTCATTTATAATTCTCAATAAAAACACGATAAAAATGTTTTCATAAATATGAGCAAAATCTCTCATCCTAATTGATCAGAGTTTTATCCTTAGTGACCACACTAACTACTGTCTTACCAGTTCCAGTCCACCACCTCATCCAGACCCCCTGTCCGCTTCAGGAGACTGGACTGGAGGACAGATCAAAGACTGATTCAGGATCAGTGAGTATGTTCAAATTCAAAATCATTTCTTAAAATATTCAAGGTGAACAAAGAAATTGAGGATCTTAGTTTAAAGACTATACTGTGGGATGCGGTCACTCACCACTCCAGCTAATTCCAGGAATTGTATAATCCTGTCATCGTCCACTGACCCTGAAAACAAAGACCAGGTTTGACTTAAATGTTGTCTATATGCTTTCATCTGACAACACTTGTCCTGTATCAGTTGTTTTCTTGTAATATTAAATGAGCTGCTGTCACTTCTTTAATAACACAATATACTGATGTCAGAACTTATTTCTATGGCTTTTAATGTATTAAAATGTTCACTGTTTACTTATGTACTTTCACTTTTATCTATTTTTGTTTTTTTGGCAGAACTGACTATGGTTAAATGAATGAACTTCTTTACCTGATGCAGGGTAAATGTCCTTCAGTGGGTAGATCACCTGTAGGACAAGAGAGTTCCAGTAGGTCCTCATTTAGTCTTTTTGGTTTTTGTTAAATTTAATGTCTTCGGTTAACTTGAACCAAGTATGGCGTCTACACCCAGCTATGTCTACATTATCAGAGAAATTAGAGGCTCTGAAGAAAGACAACTTCTGAAGGAAAAAGTCAGACACACCTGTTCACGCAGCGTGCCATCAGTCAGGTATGGTTTCTGTGGCAGGAAGAGGGTTCCTCTGGGCCCAAAACATGTGGTCATTTGGACAAAACCTGAAAAAAAAAAAAACTACTTATGATCTACTGATTTGTCCAATATATCACAAATATCACAAATTGAAATGTCTTTTTTGTAATCCTTTGACCTATGTACATTATTTTAACTGCATACAACTATCAATAAAATAACACTGTACCACCAATTGCCCATCTGAAAAGGAAACCTGTACATCATTTTTTTGGCAAAGTGCTATTTACAAGATTAATACTGAACAAAGGCGGAACCTAGATTGTCTCCTCTTCTCTCTCCATAAAGACAACTCAAGGATCTGTCAAAACATAACTGGTTGAGGTAGGAGCCTCACATCCCCCGTCTAAACAACCCTCAGTAATATACTGCTGTACTTTAATGGTAAAATTCCTAAGTCTCTTCCCAATTTGTCTATATATGTGTGTGTGTGTGTGTGTCTCTCTCACACACACACACACACACCTAATTTTCAGACATTTGTGTGTTTTAAAGGTATAGGCAGCTGGATACAAATCTGTATTTAACTAGACAAAACAGGGAAGGGAAATCATTGCCACATACTGTGTACTTTCAATACATTATTTTAAATATAAAAACCTGAGTTTTTAACCTTTAATTAATCAAAATGTTCATGTCCATACTGTAATTAAGCTTTTGAGGCCCTCAGTGTCCGGGATATTTGTCATTTTCTATCGTTAGCATGCGTCTTCTGATTAGGTCTTGACAATAATTAAGGACATTCACATCCTCCCTCAAGTTCTTTCTTTAGAAACAGAGTTATTCCAGTTAGGGGTTAATATTATGGTCTAGACTGGTCAAGAGTCACTGCATGATTTCCTGTTTACTCCCATTAAAATCGAGTAAAATTAACCAACTCTCACCACTATGTGCCTCCCACAGTCGGTTGAGGACCCTCAGTAGTGATGTCTTGCCAGTGCCTGTGTTCCCCACCACCAGTAGATGAGTTCCCTGTTTGATTTTCAGACTCAAGTCCTCCACCAGCAGCTGGTCTGAGTACGGAGATTTGTATGAAAGATGGTCCACGATGAAGGCAGTATCTAATGGGCCTGCATGGACATCGAAGTCACTGTGATGGAAAAATAAACAAAACAAACAAGAATATGGAGGCTGGGAAGCTTTGTGGCCCTGATAGTCTCCTTTCTTATAAGGCCCTTATATTCATTGTCTGGTTTTTTTAATCTGCTCTCATTTTAGCCACGTGCACTCTCTTAACATGCAGCCTGTTACTGAAATCACTTTTTTGCAGTAGAGATTAATATATGAGTGTGCACACAAACCTGTCAAAGTCGTAGCTTTCCCCTGACGCAGGGTCATAGTCACACTGCTCGCGCAGGATGTCATCCATCACCTCCCTCAGCTCCCCAATCCTGACCACAACACACACACACACACACTGATGCAGTCACATAAATGCACGCCGTCATCATCTGTCCTCCCAGAGTTAAATTTAAGCATGCTGTGTGATACCTGTGGGTGTATCCAGCCACATCTGACAGAGTGGTTGACAGGTCTATTAGCTGTGTGAAGCCATTTATCAAGTAGATGCACACAAAGGCATTCTGAATATGAACAAGGAGAGGGAGAACCACAACAGAGTGTAAATAAGAGACCTGACTATTAGTGAAGATGGAACAAAAGGCAGGAACAAGGCAGAGTGGAGACCTATTTTACACTTGCCTACATGTGACTGTGAGACCTCTAACAGAAGGCAGGAAAGAGGTTTTGCTGCCACCTAGTGGTTAAATTAGCAAGTTTCACTTTCAGCCAGCTGTTCTGTAGTGGAAACTGGGACTGTTATTTTTAATTTTCTTTAATTTAACACACTAACAACTTTATGTAAATCAGAGTAATCACTGTAGCAGCATTTTGTATTTCTTTTTCAAGTGTACCTGATACTTATTTATTGTCCTGCTGTCTAAAACCTTTCAGTATGGAGCAAATTTGATTCAAATTCCTAGTTTTTACAATTCCTACCCCAATATTTCTTAATTTTCAAATGCATCTTGATAGAGGTCAGTAGACTGTGTAAATACATGGGACAACAGCAGAAATACATTCAGGGCTTCGTTGTTATTACTGTTGTCAATAAACAGCACCTTGTTTTTGTGCATCAAGAAAGCTGCATTTTTCACTATAAGATCTGGGAAACAGAAAAAATCCTACCTTACTGATGAGTGCACTGAGCTCACCAGGAGTGAGGCCATCATAGATACCAGTGAAGATGGGAATGGCGATAATGATGTAGCTGAGGAAACCTCCAAGGTAGTCAAAGGTGTTCACCCCGACTAAGAAGGGAGAGGTCAGAGGTCAACTCTACAAATTATAACAATACAGTGACAGAGATGAGTAAGGGGTGTGTATGAGATGATCTTACTATAGAGCCAGAGTTCTTTGTTTATGAGACTCTTCTGAGTTTGTAACAGGGCCTGCAGTCTTCGGTTGGTCCTCATGTGTTCTACTTTACCAGCTCTAAAAACACAGACAGCAGCATTTGTTCCACTCTGCTTTAACCACATAACCTGTGTGATTAGCTTAGAGGTTTAGTCAAGAGGAAGCAGAGTTTCTCCTTAAGTTACTGTATATACGGGTTGTCTAAATTCTCTGGCAAGGTCTACATCTTCCTTTGCAGCAAACCCCCAGAGATGCTGTACAATGAAGTACCTCACCTGTAAAAAGCTGCAGACTCTGCATTGACGCGGATTTGCATGTGCTTGAATCTAGAGATACGGAAACATGACATTTCTGTAAAAATGAATTTTCACTTTCAAACAATGCAATTTAAGATTTAAACACACAGTTCCATTTCCTCCTCAAAACAAAACCACAGTGTTTCAACTTATAGCAGATTAAGTTACAAATTCTCTTCCGGAAATCTGATGCATACCCTGTGTTGTTTTCTAAGAGGCAAAGGGCTCTGTGCCAAAGACTACAGAAACTTCCTCTTAACAAAAAAACTGTTTCCTTCACAATAAACAAAGGGTAGAACCGCCCTGTTAAAGTTCAGGGACACACGTTGAACGGCTAAGCCTGCTTTGCTTGCCTGTCCATATATAAACTGTGGACACACAATAAACTAAACTTTACCTGAAGTCTCCCTCCAGTTTTTCTTGCTCAAACAGAGTTGAAACTATTGGCCCCATTAGGATTTTATTGGCAATGGTTCCAATCACAAAGTAGCCAAAGATACTCACAGGGCCAATCCAGCCAGTGCTGCACAAGGAAAAAAGAAAACTTTGTTTAAAAGACAATAAGAGGAAAACATGTTACAATTTGACATGTCCTAATTCAATACCAAGTATCAGTGCAATCTGGATGTTTCACTGGATCAGCATCAGCCAGAATAAAGGCAATCCAGTTATTCATATCAATAATATGAATAACTGGGAGCCATTAAGAAAACATAATATCTTGGAACCAGGACCTGATCCAGTATTTGGATCAAGAAGCTCCTGAAATATATAGTGTGTCAGATTAATTTCAATATGTCAGATATTTAATGAACATTTACAGTAGGAAAATGAGTATCAGATCGGAATTAGTATCTGCAGATACTCATTAAAGATATCAGATCAATATCATGGCCAAAAAAAAAAGAAGAATTGGGACACTACTAACTACAATTAAATAAAATCATGTTAAATAGAGAGAAATAAATGTTGTAGTGTCACAGCAAATAAAGGACACCAAATTTAACAAACAGCAATGCCAAACATTTTTGCCTCTGTTTAAGTGGGTTTACAGCAGGCACACAGGAAACATTTCTCTTCTATTTTTCTAAACTGTGCACGGTCCAGGACACAGAGGGCAGGTGACCCCTCTCATCCCATTCTAAATACAGAAAAAAAAGCACATAATATGGGTACAGTGAAAATAAAAAGGGATGCTCTACTTGACAACTTTCTCAATTTCCTCTCAAGATTTCACTTACACGAGCCTTTCACAAGCACAAATGGTGAAATGTTACATGACACTCACTTTTTAAGAGAACACAGTGCAAGTTTCTGATGAGCTTCATAATAGGTGTTAAACGCTAGTAAATGAAGGTACATGCTGCCACATGACTATAAATACACCTGTTAAAGCAGTGGTACGTGTAGTAGGTCAGTGTGAAGGGTGACACAATCAAGCGACTAGCCATGGTGCTCATCTGTTTACACAGCCTCTCTGCATCCTGACTGATTCGCTGGTCTCTGCAAGTCAGACAGACACGAGTATGAGGGAAAAAAAACAATGACCAGGATTAAGTAATTACACTGTTTTCCACTGTGGGATCATGGTCAATATTTAAATAGATTTTCACTAAAAGTAAACATCCAGATTTGTATTGACATGGTATATGTGTTTATATTCTGAAACAAGCACTAGAACTGACTGAGAAGAAGAAACACGGATTCTTACGGGTTATCTATGTCCTCTCTGAGTACGTTGAGTGTGTAATAGACTCGGCCCTTAAAGTAGGCTGTATGGAGGCTCTCAGTTAGCGTCTTCCTCCAGCTAACATACATCTGATTGCAAATGTACTGGTCAAGACTTTTCAACTGGGAGAAAAGAGAGGAACAAACAAGAAGGAATGAAAATGTGCGTCAAAGAGAAAATGTAACATAATAAACAGCAGGTATATAACCTCTATAAGACTACAAGTACAAACAGCAGCTACCTCTGTTTGTTTAAAAAGCAATGGTGTGAAATAAACTGTATGTAGAATATGTTTCCATAAAATAAACTCAGTATTGTGTTAAGAGTTGGCAGTTTCTCTTGCTCAAAGTTCAAGTGAACGCAACCTGTGTAGATTGTAAAATGTCAGACTGCCCTGATCTGATAAAGATGCTACCGTCGGTTAACAACAATCCACAATGAAATAGGATGTCATACAATAAAATACAAGAAACAATGTACCAGATAGTTTTAGTTTCAGTGCACATCTACATTTGTCTTTAGATCAATAATGTACAGCACTAGGAACATAGGATGTGCCCCGGTCATGATGGTGGTGGCACTAAGAGCGTTCCTGTGACAAACCTCTGTTTCAGTTAGAAGCTCCCATTGACTCTATATACAAACAGGACAAACCTACTGTGACGTCACCCACTGGTTTTCTGAAACTCAAGTCTGGAAGTTGGAGGTTGCTGTTTGGAAGCTCCTAACCAGGTCACTCATAATTCATGAACGCACATTACCACAGGAATGATACTAGCAACTGGAGGAAGAGCCCACGCCATAGGAGACTGGAGAAAATTAGCGAGTGGGGCACAACGTGTGGACAACCAGCTACAGACTCAACTGTCACTCTTTCACAACAATCTGCAGCTGCTATAACTGAAGTCAGAACAACCACACACACATTTGCAAACTAGCCCATTATAGAGCGAGCACAGCACACACACGCCTGGAGTTTGTGGAGCACACAAACTGAAAGGCCAGGCAGAGAAATGTGAGGAAAATTTAGCTGAATATGACAAAATGTGTAATCACTTAGAACTGCTGACTATACCTTTAAGATTACACAGAAACCAGTTGAGAGGGCAGATTCTACAAGTATCAGTAATTTCATCAATACCCTATGTTTGCAGATCAATCAGAAGAAGAGGTGGACACACAGGTAAAGATAAAAGAGATGCACAGCTGAGTTTGCACGTGTGCAAGGAGTAAAGCCAGTTTGGAGGCCAAATTCCATATGCATCTACATGTGCTGCTTCATCAACTTACTGTGGAGTTGAGTATAATGAGCACCATGGCCATGCCCACCAGATTCTTGAAGCCTGAGTAGTCTTTGTCTGCCAGCACATAGTAGAAGTGGCTGGGGAGGACACCCACTTGGTAAATGATCAGCTGCTCTGATGACATAAAAAAAGAAAGATGTGTCAGCACATTGTTGGGACACCTATAATACAACGCAGGAAAATTAGACAAC